TCATTAAAACCACTCGGTTTTCCAGCATTTTATGTACATCATAAAAAAGCAACAAAGAGTACAAAACCAGTTATTAAAAACCACACATTTGCAGGTCACTTTAAGTCATAAGTGAATCTAGGTTAGATGGTCCTTACCAGTTGTGTTTCACTGCATGGTTTTTGTAATATAGATACAAGTCCACTAAAAACTAGCTTGTCTCTGCTCAAGAGAGGCTACGATAGCTGGGAAAGTGTAGGTCAGGATTGAGGTCCATTACCAAAGACGCTGGGGTAATATTACAGCACGTGCATATATTACAGATGACTCTAGCTAGTGATAGCTATTAAATACCAAGATACACTCAAAGGTTCAACACCACAACCGTAAACTCACGTCCAACTTCATAGGAAGCTCTGAAGGAAACAAGTTTCTAACATTTTAACCTCCCAAGACTGGCAAAGTTTGGTGTATTTAGCTTCCCTTTCAGCCTTAACGTACAAAAATAATTTCTAAGTAAAAAAGGTAAGTTTACGTTTGGGATGTTTGAAATGTAAAGCACAAAAAGAAAGAGGGCAATGGCATAAGAAAAGGCTTGTTCCTGAAAACTAAAGTAAATAAGGAATACGCACTCTAGATGGCAGCAAAATGTTATCCTACAAATTAAATCCCTTCCACGTGGAAAGGACAAATGTTTAATTACAAACAGGGAAAGCAAAACATTTACTAACATGAGCTGCTTAATAAAAGTAGCATTTATAACAATGATTGCTTATATCATCAGCATCCTAGTTAGTCAAAGACGACTCCGGTCTACAGTTTCCACAATACACACTACAACTGTTAAGTTACTAAATGTATGTGAGGTGGAGGGGAAGACATGTTTGATCGAAAAAGGTGCTTAAAATGCAGTTTCTTTCTCCTCTGCCGTCCCCCCCCCCCGTATATGGAGATTTATTTTTCCTATAAATGCAGAAGCAATATACTGCTGCTTCAGCTCTGGAATAATAGAAGCTACAGGCCAAGACATGATTTTGCTCACAAAAAAACTGGTCTGCTCCTTCATAAAAAATGTCCTATGTTTGTAAACATACAATCATGTTATGTGCAAGTTGGAACTAAGCTTTCTTTAGAACATGTTATACAAGAAAGCCAAGGTACCTACATATTTATTGTCCAACTCAGTAGAACTGATGCCAAATAGTCAAGCAGAAACAAGAATTCAGCAGGCTCTGTATTTAGAATCCATATCACGTAGCAGAAGTAGCAGCCTTAGCTAGTAACAGATTAATATTACATCCTCAAAAAAGACGTACTACATGATCAGCAACCTTAAAAGATTCAGTTCAGTACTGACGTAAAACATAGTAACTCCACATATTCAGCACTCTATTGGATGCCATTTTCAGAGTCTTTACCTGGTTCTGTTTGCAGGCTCTCTGATATTCGAAAACAGTGCATTTTGCTGAAATTGCGAGAAACTAACCGCACACAATTCGGCGGAAGAATCATATTCCTTAATCTTCCAAAAGTACATTCTGGTGGTACAATAATGTAGCAAGAAGCATGAGCCTATAAACAGAAACATCATTAAACACTTGTCATACCTCAGACATTAAACTTGTAAAAAAATTAACTCACTGTAACAAAAGAGGCAGTGGCCTTGCAAACCATGCTGGAACCAATTCATACTTTGTGTAAATTGGTCCATCTCCTGTGCAATGAATGGAGTTGCAGCCACTTACATTGGGTTTGATTTTAACTCACTATATTTTTATTGACGTAACAGTGAGAATTCGTAACATGTGACAACACTTTTTAAAATATTAAAAACATTCTACTGAAATCTAAAGTTTTACATACATTGACATAAAGGAACAATAGTAAGATTGTTTTGCATCGGAACCATTGGATTTTGCATTCTAGTGGTATTCACAAAGTGGGAAAATGATCAAAACATGGACGCTCGTGTTATAATTAATAGGTTACCCTGTCGGAAGTCGGGGCTGCGATTTCCTCCTGGGGTTTTACTTCCATTGACAAATTCAGGAATTGTCCTTTCTGAAGCTTATGTCATCAGCCCAGACCCTTGAGTAAATTTCTGCCTTACATTTATTCTAGACCATCTATTATCCTTGGAATCAGCTAATGGTAAATACATATGACAAACTGATGAACAGAGCCAATAAAAGAAGTTTGCAAAAAAAATTTAAAAATTAAAGAAAAAATGGTGATCTGTGTTATTTCAGTTATTTGTTTTTTAAAAGTATTTTTGAATATCTAAATAATTCACTCAAAATATACCTGAAACACTGAATAATTGTTAATCCTTAAGATACAGGTAAACTTGCTATTGTAACTTAGTGTGGCAATTCAAAAATACTTTTGTTTTTAATTATTAAATATGTTTTTCACTTCCTATCGCCTAACGATTTGCGTGTTATTTCTAGGCACTGTTTCTGCGTTTCACCCCCTAGGTGACTAATGATGGATGCAGTGACCCCTATTCTACACAGTAGGTTGTATATCAGTTTTAAGTCTGTAACCAGGTTTGGTTCTCTTCTGGATGAGAGGATACTTTTGTTGCATGGGAATCAAACATTAGCAGTACAAAGGGATGACCACAAAATCAAATACACGTTAAGAAATGTTGGGAACAATCTCCGGGGTTCAACAACATTCCATGCTGAAAGGGAACACGAGCAGGTTAGAAGGGGGGATTCTATGTAATCAGCATAAATCTTTGTTTCTTTTTACAATTCACATCAATAATACAAGGACTAACTGGTAATACACTGAATGGGTGAGAACCACAAGACAAGCCATGTACTGAATGAAGAAGCATCAGTTAACGATGCAGTGTTTGTACCCCAAAGACTCCTGTTAAGACACAGCATTAAGAATTTCTTAATTTTATCCGCTTATTTTAAAATACCTCCACTTTGGAAACAAAAGGAAACAAACCCCAAACTTACTTTCGCTCTGACTTATCGAGTGTCGTCCAACAAATTCACGGCCAGTTTTAAATACATCAAATTAACCAGGCTTTTATTTCCACAGACATGCCCAATACCGTTTACATACCAGAATGCCACACCACTCACACCTCATGCCAGACAGCACCTCCGACGAGCCACAGGTTTTCTTGCAGACCTCACAGCGAGCACTGGACGAGAGATTTCCCTCCCTCCAGTGATGATGGTATGTGTCCTGAGAAAATGGATCAATCGATTGTATTATACCGAATGGCAAATACAACCGTGTCCCTACATTATTAATTTAAAATTAACCCTAACGGCTTTAGGAAAAACATCACAGAATGTTGTGCATATTTAATGTAATTCATATATAAAATATTTAATTATTTTCCTATTGAAATATGGAGTAAGCAAGTTTGCAGCAGGCCATTAAAATCCCACAGAAAATCTAGGATAAAGAAGTCTCACTGTCCCATTTTCCTGAGCATTGTAATGTTTAGTTCTGTAATAAATACATCAACTTAAGGAAAAATATTTGGCACTTACATAGCACTTTCCATCCTCACAGCTCATTACAAATCTTAGTTCTCCAAATATTCAGAGAGATTAGAATTAGCACTTTACAGTTTAAAAAATTGAGGAGCAAACGTTAAACATTTTGCCTGAGACATAAAAAGCAGCCAGCCTGAGGAATGGGTTTAGAGATCTCAAATGTGAGGCTTCTATAATAACTCTCTGCGTCCTTGGGGTGTGTCACATTGCTCAAAATGCAGAAAAACCACAGGAAAACGATAAAAGACAAAAACCTCACATCAGCTGGGGGTGAACACTTTTCACAAACTATCATTCTATGTCTGCCCTATCAGTCCGCATCCTCAGAGGAAACCTGCACAATCCTTTCAAAAGATGAGCCTGGGAGCTTAAATTCATAACTTTTCTAGACACTCAATATCATGGCTTGAAAAGAGACAGTGGAGTTATGACTTATTACAACAGTAACCACTACAACAGTAACACACACACACACCCATCTTCCTCTCTTCCCCTAACTGCAGGGGTGTTAACAGGCCACTTCACTTGGAATGGTCCCTTGAAATATGTGTTAACCCCTTATGCTAAACCATCTATTCCACCTTGTATTTAGCTGTGACACTCTGAGTACATTTCCCAGACCTGAAGAAGAGCTCTGTGTAACCTCGAAAGCTCGTCTCTCTCACCAACAGATGTTGGTCCAATAAAGATATCACCTCCCCCCCCACTTGTCTCTAATATCCTGAGGCCGACATGGCTACAACACTGCAGACAGAAATATTAATTTTTATTTCATGTTCTATAAACAATCCACAATGTATTATTCTTACACTAAAGCTATACCCAGCAAATGACTTTGCATTTGATCTTTGGCACCTATAGCTACTACAGTAACAGACCCTTTCAAAATGCCTAGTCAGTCTTCAGTACGAGAGAGAGACGGCCAAACATTTTTAAAAGTGGTGCTAAAAGCTACGGGACTACTAACACCCCATTTAGGCCTGATTTTCAGAAGTGCTCAGCCTTCAGCAGTCACGGTTACTCCCATGGAAACTGCTGGTTGCTCAGCACTTCTGAAAATCCGGCCTCAATATCTACTTAATTACCCGAATTTTCAGCAGCCATCTTTTAAAGTTTTGGCCACGAAATCTAAACTAACTGCAGTACAACAGGGAGAAGTGCAACAGCTATCCAATCAGTTGCCCCTTCCCAAAGAGGACACTACAGTTTAGAAATGATCCATCAGTACGAAGGGCACATTGTATTTTGATGGTAATTATATTCGTCCTGCCAACAGGCTTGTACTGCTAGCATTACAGTTTCTCTAAAAATGGTTCACATCATGAGAAGCAAAAAAAAAAAATAGGAGGCAGAAGCAGCCTCGGAGAGAAGAGGGAATTTCCATTTCCCCGTCACCAGATTGCTCTTTGGTTTTTTAAATAAAGCCCGAGATTTTCTGAACATCCCTGGGTCTGCTCAACTTGAGCTCCACCAAGCATGTCTAAAATTCATCAGCAACAACCGGCTCTCCACTGGACAAATGTCAGTACCACGTTAGAAAACAAAAAGTAGCATCAGTTCACAACAAAATCTAATAATATACAGGATGTATTTTTCTGTTCCTTATATGTAAGGAACATATCTACCAAAACACTATCACTCACACATTAAGCTGCACAACAGAAACTGGAGGAGGATGTTATTGGGGGAGGGGAAGGATTCAGGTTTGTTTTACATTGAAAGTAACTGATTGTACTTCATACTCTGTTCTAGCCACACAAGTTAACACTCACATGATCCTGATGCCCATCTTGATGGCACTGACGACAATCGCTGCAAGCAAACGGGAGACAATCTGTATGCACGTGTAGTTCACACACTGAAAGTAAAAAATTAAACAGGAAATGTCTTTAGCACCCAGGTTTGTTTTATTTTCCTATCTCCCCACATAGCATTTCTCATGCTTTTTACTGTTCAGCAAAGACAGGGAAAATGCAAGAAGTTTATCTCTATTATGGTGTGTGTTATTCAATTTACTTTGCATTTAATTGATTCAACTATTATTTAACTGAAAAAAGCAAGTATGTAGGAAGGCAAAGCTCATTTTGCGCTTAAGTGATTTAATTATTTCTTCCAATAAAGATAAGAACAACAATTGGCTAGTTTACTATAAGGATGTCTATAGTCGGATTCAAAGAAACCAGTCCTCTTCCCTAATATAATCACCTCTCTCACCTTAAACTGGAAATTTTGCTTTAACAAAATGAGAAAGTAGAGTTCAGGAGACCCCCATTAATAGGAAGGGCAACTTTCTCTATTTTCTATAGCTGAAAAATAATGAAGTCCTAAACACAGAAGAGTGGTAGCCAACCACCAAGTCGTATCCCCAAATACTCAGACATGGCAGGGGGACAGGAGGCAGTCAGCTGTAGACATTCCAAAAATCACATCTTCCAAATCCTCCACTCTGCCTGACTCGGAGTCTCAGTAGAGGTCCCCGGGAATGAACAGACATGGAGTCTGACCAAGTGTCCCTCCAAAGCAGGGTGAGTGTAGCGTACTGGGACACTGAACTGTTAATAGCGTTGTACTGCACGCTTGTAACCTGAGGCCTAAATAAGGGACAGGCTTCCTCCTTGCCACATCCTTAGCTGGCCTAGGAGCAGACCGTAAACACACACACACACACACACACCCCGGTAATGGAGTGTGGAGGAGTTCGCACTGCCGCTGCCTCTACACTATGTTGTACCTGTTCGTTGGGAACCAGCGATCCATCATCAGGACCATTACTCCAGCATCTTTAATGACACGTCTAAAGGACATTAGGAGTTCTTGTAGCACCAAAAGGAAATATTTTTTCCATCTGCCTCTGTCTAGCTTGTTAGGTTACTCAGGAAACCTAGATCACCTTTCCACTGAATATACACAAATGCCGTGTGTGCAATACACAAAGAGAGATTACATTAGACAACCCAGATTCGTAAGTGGACTTTAACAGCCAGGCAGCAGAATTTTACCCAGGGACTAACATCTGAAATCACCCATTTTGCTGTCAGATGCCAACTTGGATTCCTTATTTCAACTTGAATATATTCTAGAAGAAAAGGGGCATATCCATCCCATATAGGAGATCTGGTCCAAATCTCTTTGCACTCTATATCCTAGTCTCCATCTTAATGTCAAGAGACAGAAAACCGGAGTGTGGGAAGGGGTTTACAGCCTCCCTTTATGCCAGATGGTTTAGAAGTCAGATATGTCCAGCTGTTAGATTTCCACCAGAAGAAGCCTTACTGTGGCCTATGAAGATTTGGATAACTTTTCCTTTTGGACCAAAAGTAGTATTTTGATTTCCTAAAGGCTGACCTGAAGCTTCAGCTATAAAGGAGAGGCCATTGGCCCATCAGCAAAGTGGAATTCCAAGTTAATAGCTTCAACAAAATGCAACAGAACTTGCATGAACTGGAATGACAAAGTTCTGTAATGACCTCCTTAACAAACACACGTTAATGTAACAAAACGGATAAAAATGCTGGAAGACACACCCCAAACGTAAAATTACACAGGGACAAATGGCCATGAACCTATTTGGAAGAAGAAGAAAAAGAAAAGAAAATTAGCTAGGTTGTAAACAGAACTGTTCTTTAAAAGTGAGCATTCTGGGCAGACAGCAACATTTGTCTCTTCAAATAAATCAAGAACATGAATCTCAGGATTCCACCAAGCCTGCAAACCACCTCTTTCTGTAGCATTCAAGGAATCCATTGTTCCAACCACCTCACACAACTCTGAGAAGAATTCCAGGTCTGACACCGGAGTCAGCCATGCTGACAGCCATTAACAATGACAGTCATGCTTTCTACAAGAATCATCAAGTTACCCATTCTGTAAACTTAATTTTAAAAGTGCTCTATAAACAGTAAGAAATAAAGTCAATAAGCACATTCTAGCTAATTGTAGTCCTACACATTGCTGTGGATGTCGTTCACCATTGCACATAAGCAAAGATTGTCTTATGTTTAAATCTACAGGAGAAGCAACATTTTTTTTTCTTTTCTGAAAAGAATCCTTCTGAAAACTGCTATAACAAGGTAGTAAGTATGAGATCCCTAAATAGATTAAGTAATTCCTAACTTGACTACAAATCTGCCACAAAAATTACTTGGTAAAAAAAGATATTGTGCAGTTCCAGGGTTGTTATTTGTCAACAATTTTTTTAAAAAAAAATACACATTTGATAAGGAAAACGTTGACAGTTTTGTAAATTCAACCTGGGCGTAGAGACAAGCTGAGTTCTTTCCATCCACACATCACTACTAGTAATAAAGTTTCTGCAAACCAAATCATGATTTCGGTGAGGTTACACAGGCATAGCTGATTGGAACATAGCAACAATTCTGTTGTTGGTACACTCGGTAAAGTACGATCTGCAGCTCACGCAGCAAAGCTATGTTGGCTCTGTATTATTAACAGGAGTAAAAGCTGGAAACTGCATTGCAGTTGGCAGATATGCCTCCAAATCCTGAAAAGAACAGATTTGTTGAGTAGGAAGGGGACAGTTTAGAGACAGCCACTTTCATAACAGAAACAGTCTTTAAAAAGCAAGATTTAGAAATGACTGGGGAGAACTGTTAATGTCTCAACTTCAGCCCAGGAGCTTAGGGTCAGAACTGAGTAGGGTTACCATACGTCCGGATTTTCCTGGACATGTCCGGCTTTTTGGGCTCCAAATCCCCATCTGGGGGGGAAAGCCCAAAAAGCC